CGTTTATTTCTTGATTGCCCTTTCGTTCATCTTTGATCTGCGCTGATCTAAAGAGCTTTGTCTTGTAACTTTAATTGACCATGCCTAAAAGGGGGGGGAGGGGAACTCGCGTGGCTTTGTGCATGCGCATGATGTGATACCTGTATCCAGAGACAGCGATAGACACTCACGTACATAGACACACATCTGGGGACAGTTGCAGACTTGGGGAAAGATTGCGGGCAGGGGAAATAACGTTCTCCACTACCCCTTCCGAGAAATGAGAAAGAAAGAAAGAAAAAAAACAATGGCGAAGAAGGCAACTAGAGAAAGCCGTTCGGGTGTTCGCGAGGCGAGATAGGGTGGGACAACTGGAAGGAGGCAGATGGATGTCATCTGGACGGGTTCCTTAAATTTCGAAATGCAGGACGCAGCTGCCTTTGCTGGGGGAGGGCGACGCATCTCCCAGCTAAGGAGAAGGTCTTTTAAGAGGCAGAGAGGAATGAGATTTGATTTGGGGGGCTTTGGGACGTATTAAAGAGGGGTCTGTTTGCCCATCTCGCGGGAGTCTGTCTTCATTACTTCAACATTGCGCATTTGCTCATGCGAAAGGCCCCATTCCTTTTGACAGCCCTGCGCCTTACACCTGCAAGCAATTTGGCGCGCCCCAGTATAGAGAGAGAGAGCGAGCGAGAGAGAGATGGCAGTTCGCGCAGATTTCATTTCTCTCTCTCTCTCTCTTTCTCTCTCCCTCTCTCTGTGCCTTTCTCTCCTCCCTTATTCCCCCCATTCTCAAAGCACAGCAAATTTGGCTTTCAGTGCGTTATCTCTTTTGTTAATGCAAAAAGATTCCCCGGGCGAAAAAATTGCTCATAATTACCAGAGAGATGGGGAAACTGCATTAGAATAAATAAACCTGAAATTACTGTAATTATGTTGTGTTTGATGGGCTCGGCTTGTAATCAAGAAGAGAATACAGTGAAATGATGCTGACCCTCTTGGGTTTTGCAGCTGCACGCGCACTTTGGGGTCTTTTTTAGGAGAAAAGGAGTCATTCTGATTATCATTAAGCTGTGTGTAACCTACTGCAGAAGTGTTGGGAAATGAGAGGCAGAAGCTTTCTCCCCCCCCCCTCCCTATGCGGGAGAGAAATTACCTATTCTTAAATTGCGTTTTACCATTGACAGCTTTATCCGGTGGGGCTGTGTTGTTTGCGAAGAGACCGCGGTTGAAAAAGGCGTAGTACTCGGCATCAGTTTTTAATCATTGTAATGAGGTATTGTTTCAATAGAAGCCCCTTCGGATGATTCAGAGTTTAATTAATATCCTCATTATGATGAATTTCGAATCAGATATTTGATGAACTACTTGTCAGGGATAAGGCAGAATTAATGAGGTCTGCGGCGAGATTAGCATTTGCAAACGGCACGGCCGTAACTCAAGCCCGCCTTCGTCGGGACAAAACTAATAATTTCTCCATTTGGACGGGTTAGCTCGACTTGATTGAATTAAGGGAAGCCGAGGCGTTCGAGAAGGTTCCAGGGCGAGATTGCTTGACCGCGGGGCCTTCTCGCGTGCCCTTTCACATGGTTTGGATTCTCGCCTTGCCTCAGAGTGGAGTCGAGGCCTTCCTGCTGGAAGGGCCATCCTGGCAATCCCGTGTTGCCGCAACCACATTCCAGCTATTTACCTCCGGCTGTCCCAAGCTTGCAAAAAACTCCCCGGACAAATTCTGCTTCCTCACCGCCAGAGGTTACACGGAGGCCGCGGCCTCTCCTCGGAGGCGCAGGCCCGGCTCCGCTCGGCCCTGCGCTCTTGCGCCTTTTCCTCCTCGCCTGCGCTTCTCTCTCGCAAGGAAGTGCATTAGCCGGAGCCCCATCATCCGATCACTCATCGCCCAGAATTGAAAAATGGGTGCGTGTCAAAACAAAAATCGATACAATTTCTCACCCGCTTCCTTCCCTCGAGCAGCCTCCTGGAAAGCCACTCCCCACCCCCCGCCCGATCCACACCCACTTTAGCCTCTCCTCTCCTCCGGCTTCTCTCCCACCCCAGAAGAAACTTGACAGTGGATGCGCACCTCAGCCGGAAGGCAGCCAAGGGCGGCTTTCTGTAGCTCCGAGCCCCCTAATCGTGCTGGTTCGAGCTGGCATCGGGGCCGGGAGCTCTGATCCCAGCCGAGATCTGACGAGCTTTCCTTCGACCCGCCCGGCCGCCCGGTAGGTCGTCCTGATCTTTGCCAGCGGGGTTCGCCCCGGGGAATTCGTTTGCGCTCAGGCTCAACCTGAGGGCTGGTTTTAAGCCTCGCTGTCTTAGCTCCAGGGACCGAAAGGTCCTTCCTCGGAGCAAAACGGCTATCAGCTTTTTGGGTTTGTACCGAGCTGACAACTGAGATTTCACGGAACAATCTCTCCCTTGGGAGAGATTCTGCTTTAACTCTGAAATCTTGTTTGCCCATTTCCTTTCAGTGGGGAAGGAAGGAAGGAAGGAAGGAAGGAAGGAAGGAAGGAAGGAAGGAAGGAAGGAAGGAAGGAAGGAAGGAAGGAAGGAAGGAAGGAAGGAAGGAAGGAAGGAAGGAAGGAAGGAAGGAAGGAAATTCTCAGTTCTCTGAAATCCGCCAAGACGCTGAAAACATAAGAGGCAAAGATATCCAAGTTATTCTAAACCGGTTCTCCCTAGAGTCCGTTCCATCCCACAAAACTTAACTGATAAACAGGCAAGCAGAAAAGAAAGCAGACCCCAAGTTCCAACCCCCAGTCTTTCTCCAGAGTTCCTTATCTTGCTGCCCCTCCTGTTACCCACACAAATTCTCTTCGCGTTTATTAGAGCAAGGCGCAGTTCCTGCCACGGGGAAAGGAGCTGCCGGTTGCTTTTCCTTGCCTGCAAATCCCCAGCCTTTCCAAGGAACCGAATTGTTTCCAAACCGCTGGAGCCACTTCCAGGCTGGGTGAGGTTGGAGCTTTGGCATACTGCAGAAGAGAAGGGGAGGCACCGGGCAGTTGTGAGGGGCTCGGATGGCTTCGTGGGCGAATGCTAGGCCCCCAAAGAGCGGGAGGCACCGGGAATGAGTGCCTGGGCTGCTTGCTTGGCCCCAACACGTGTGGGCCGCGCAGCTTTCCTTTCTCCATTCCATTTGCGATCTGGCCCGGCTTTTTTGTCTGTCAGCTCCTGAGACGCTTCTTTAGACCACCTTTCCTGCCGAAGGCCATTTGCCCCGGCTCCCGGGTGGGGGAGGGACGGGATGGATGGGTGGGTGGGAAGCTAATATTAAATCCATTGAGATCTCCTGGCAGACCTACCGCTGAATCAGGATCAGTGGCCGTTGACTGGCCTGGACTCCAAGGAAGAGTAAACTCCGAGCAGGCCATTGTAGCTTTTTATGGACGCTAAGTTAAGGATAACAACAACAACAACACCATCATGATCAAATACTTGTTATTGTTATTGTTATTATTTCCCTTCCTTTAGAGCCCTCCATCTCTTTTTCTGGGTACCAAGGACATATTCTTTCAGGCTGTCCCTTCCCACACCCTCACCCCAAATCCAGACCTAGATCCAGACTCGGAGCCGCCAGATGCACCCCTCCCCCTTGGAGTACTGAGGAGAGTCATACATAGTAGGCCCGTGGGGGAAAGACTCCAGTCCTTCAAAGTCTTCAAAGACTCCAGTCCTTCCCGCTTAGGTCAGGGTTAAGACTAAGCACGACCATCACCATTGAGCATCTTTATAAATGCTTTTGCATTATTTCAAAATGCTTTTGCAGCTACTGTGGTGCGGGAGTGCTTTTGGGGTAGGTGGGATTCCTTTCTGGGTAAGGAGGAGTCTTGTTTTCTTTCCCACTTCCCCCCAATAAAGCAATGTAAGGCCATCCTCATTATAAAACCAGACTAGTAATGAACCTCTGAAATAACAGCAGACTTCCAGGTTATCATATCACGGGAGAGAATTTCTCCCCACGATTGCTTTGCTTCTGTTTTGCCCCAAGCAAATTCCTTAAAGATTTCTGGTTTTATTTTTTTTTAAAAGGTATTTTTTATAGCCAACTAAATGGGCCTGTGGAGGAAGAAGAAAGCAAGAGAGGAACCAGAAGCATTTGTTAAAAGCCCAAAGTACTAAGCAATGCTATTAATTAGTGAGATATATGGACAGGCGTTAGTTTTTGGACTCGAATATGTGTGCGGGGAGGGCAGGCAAAAAAGGCTGATGCGTGAGTGGAAAAGTGAATCAAAAAGTTAAGGTTTTAAACAGCCTAAGGACAAATTAGTTTTTCCTCGTGTTTCCCCCACCCAGGCGCGCTTACATTGCTTCTGGAAAAGTAACGCAATCACCAACTTAACTTGAGCTGGCCTCTAAAGCAAATTATGTTGTGTTTTCTTTTTTTGCCAAACTTGCCCCCCCTCCTCCTTAAAGGAAGGCCAGCGATACATCCATCCCTATAAATGCCGTCAAATTCTATAATGCCCTGTCAAATAAAGTGCTTAAGATTGTAGTTTACCAGTTTTCCAGCCTTGGAAAGAGATTATATCCCTCCCACACACATGTCTTTCAAAACTACTGTTGTTATCCTTTTTGAGCAATAAACAAATTAACATTAAAATAAAATTATATGACATGTTTTCACCACTTTCACCACGTCAGATTTTGTGGATCACAACCCATTTTACCTTTCATACCATTTAGTTGAGATCGGTGAAAATGAATCTGAGAAATAAACCCGGTCGGCTTTTTTTTTTTTTTTTTAAAGCCAAAGGACTGCTAGTTTTCTGCAAATGTGTTTGCAGTCCAAATCCGATTGCTTTCCTTCGATCCAATGTGCACATGCCCCAAATAGAAAAACAAAAACAAGCAGCAGTCATAACGAGCCAATCTCTTCAGTGTGTGCGGGTTGGTTTTTAAACAAATGGCCTGAACACAGCATCACTTTTGCAAAACAGATCCGCCCATCAGTTTATTTTAAAAAATGTTTAGGACTCTCATAGTGGCAGTTTTAAGTCAATAAATAATAAATAATTTAAAAAATCCCCTTTCCCATTCGACAGAGAAAAAAAAATGTACACCGAGAGGACTACAACGAACACTGAGAAGGGAAAAAAAAGGAAGGAAGGAAGGAAGGAAGGAAGGAAGGAAGGAAGGAAGGAAGGAAGGAAGGGGGTTTTTTGTTGTTCCTTGGCGAAGCCCAGAAAGGAAGGGTGAGGTGAAGGGAATGGCCAAGTCTCATTTGGACAGGACAGAAAGACAGACAAGAGAGAGGACCCTGCTCCCCCTCCCTTCCTCGGAAAAACGGATTCGTTGTTGCTGGAGTCCTGATGGTCCACCCATGTCCAGGGCCGGATTCCGCGCTGCTGCTCCTGCTGCTGGCAGGCTGTCGTCCGGCGTGGCTGGGGGACTATCTGGGGCCGCCGCGTCAGCTGTCTGCAGTGGGAACCAGCCCCGCCTGGCATCTGTGCTTGTCTCGGGAGCTGAGACCCAAAACCGTCGGCGGCCCAGGGACGCTCCGGCTGGCTCAGGCTTCTGGGTAGGGGGACGGAGGCGGCTTCCTTCCTTCCTTCCGCGGTGCGATTTCCCCCAAGACCAAACAGGGTGCCTTTGCTGCTTTTTTTTTTTATCGTTCTTGTTTTTGTTCGTTCGGTGGTTCCAGCCGTCGGGGCGATCGGCTTATCGGTTCAACGTTGCAAAAGTAAAACAAAAAAAAAAAAACAAAAAAAAAACAAAAACAAACACAAAAGCCAAAAGCAAAAAAAAAAACAACCAAAAAAAACAACACAAACCGGAGCCGGCCAACCCTTGGCTCCTCCTCACATCAACTGAGGCTGCTGCATAGTCTCCTGGTGGGCCGAAGGGTACCAAGACGTGTAGCTGGGGATGTAGGTGCCCGGGGTGCCCGTGGAGCTCTTACCCGACGACGAGGTGGTATTCCAGACCGGCGGCCCGGGCGGAGAGCTGGCCGACAGCGACCTCCCGTTGGCCAACGCGCTGCTTTCCAAGGCGGCTCCTCCTTGCTTCATTAGCTTCTTGAATTTGGAGCGCTTGTTCTGGAACCAGATCTTGACCTGCATATTTTCCCCCACACACACACCGCCCGCCCCAGGAGATGAAAGGTTCAAAACACACCGCAAAGTTAAGCTCTCCCTGCCCAAGCCGCCCTCGGCCCAAGCAAGGCGCTCCCTCATCGCTCTCTCTCTCCCCCCCCCCACACAGACCCCATTCCTCCGAGGAATCCGGCCTCGGCCCCCAAGGCGCCAGGCAGCGCTTGGCTGCGACCCCGGACAACAAAAAGGTCGGAGGCGCATCGCTGGGAACTGAGGCGCGTTCCGAGTTTTTCTCCCTACTTTAATGGGGGGGGGGGGAAGGAAAGCGAGTCGGCTGCTGTTCTGAGACTAACCCGGTCGTTTTTAACTCCCCCCCTTGCTAAGTGTCCAAGGACCGGGGGGGGGAGGAAAAGCCAATAATTTTGTTTGCCCCGTCCACACGTGGCCAAGAATCAGGGTGCCGCGATGCCGAAGACCTCGGAATGGGGGCCAAGGAGAGAGAGACTAGCCATGCCCGAGGCAGCAAACTCCAAGCACTCCCAATTTCTAAATCGAAAAGGGCCCGGGCCAAAGAAAGACTATAAAAGTCTATTTAAAAAAAAAAATCCCGGGGGTTTTGTTTTGTTTTTAATGTCGGGGTTTGAAGCTTCCATGTAGAAAGGGGAGAGGGGAGGGGAGAGATAAGAATGGCAGGATAGGTGGGTTTTCTTTGGATCGGATTTCTGGAAAGGGAGCAGGGTTGTTTAGGGGTCTGGCCTGGGTTTCTCCCCCGACCTGAAAGGAAATTTCTGGACCCTGAGAAACTCGAACCTCAAAGCCTCTGCTTCCTCGGGCCTTCTTTGGGGAGAGTGAGAGACCCGCCTTACAGAGCAAAAGGCGCCTTTGGAAAGAGGAGAAGGAAAGCTCGTCCAAGGCTCCATAACAGTCCAGCTCAAGAACAAGAAAAGCGCCGTAAAGTAAAAAACAACTCTGTTTCAGTTAACGTGTTTTTAGGGCGCTTTCCCAGATTTGGGGAGATAGATTCATCCAGGCATGCGATAGAGAGGAGGGAATCCTTTGGGGGAACTTTTCCTTCAGCTCGACCGGCCCCCCGAAACGCTCCGCTATTCCTTGCCCGAAGGAAGCTGGGATGGGAAAAGCACGAAGCCTGGGGAAAGGAGGGCGTCCCAGGGCCGGGATGAGGAGGGGGAAACGGCCCTTCTCTGCCTACCTGAGTCTGGGTGAGGCCCAAGGAGGCGGCCAGCTCGGCTCTTTCCGGCAAAGCCAGGTACTGGGTCTGTTGGAAGCGCCGGTTCAAAGCCTGGAGCTGCAAGCTGGAGTAAATCGTCCGGGGCTTCCGGATTTTTTTCCCTTTGCCGTTAAAGCGCACTTCGCCGCCTTCCACTACGGTGCTTTTCTCTGCCTCGGTCCCTGGAAGAAGCGACAAGAGAGGCCCGTGAGAGATACGCGGACGCCTCGCCAGCCAGGCGGAGGGGCGAGGATCAGCACCAGCCACGCAGCTCGCGGTCAATCCGGGTCAGAGGTTTGGCCCCGGCCCCGGCTGGCCTCCAAGGGCCCTTCGGTGTCAGGCTCCCTCCTCCGCCCTCCAGTCAGTCACGCTTAATGAGCCCCCAAGCCCCCCCGGCAGCCCCCCGAAGCCGGGCGGAGACGAGGCGGCTGTTGTGCAGAGGAGAAAGGGTGGTTGTTGGCAGCCCCAGAGTTCCATCGCCCGTGGGGAAGGGGAAGAGGGGGAGAGGGGGGGGGAAGAGGAAAAGTTTTTTTTTCTATTTTTACAGGCGGCGGCACTTTAGGTTTAATTACCCTTAATTGCATACATTGTTTATAGCGCGACGCAATAAATAATTGCCGAGCCTAATAGGCGCACATCGGGGTGGGGGGGTGGGGGAGAAGAGTTGGAAGAGTGCAGAGGAAATGCTTTCGGGGTTTTGCCAGCCGGGCCTGGTGTGGCTTTGTGTGCAAACTCCAGAGGTCTTGGAAACTAGGCTGTTCCCTTGAGGGGTAGTTGGGGCAAAAACCAGGGGAGAAAAATCTTAACCCCCCCCCCTCACCTTCAGTTTGGCTGCATTTCTTTTTGTTTCTCTTCCCCGTCTCGGTATTTTTCGGGGGGGTCCATTTAGGGCTTCTCCCTCCCCTCCCCTTGCCCCCCCTCCCTCCCTACCGACCCCCTCCCCTCCCTGCCCTGCCCTCCCCCCTCTCGCCGGCAAATGGCACGTACCTGTCTCCTCTAACCGAGTCTGAGCCAAGCTGGTGCTGTTGGGGTAGGACTGCACCGAGCTCATGTAAGGGTTGCCCGAGTGGCTGCTGACCGAGTTGACATAGGGGTAGCCCAGCGGTCTGGAGAAGGAGGACGCGGCGCTGTACGAGCTGTCCGGCTGCGAATGGCCGGCCGAGTGTAAACAGTGCATGGAGTAGTGGCCGTGGGCCATGGGCGACGGAGGCATTTGCTGCCCGGGCGGGCCAAACTCCATGAAGACCGCCTTGCCTGAGACGGGGCTATTTAGGCTCTCTGGCATGGTGGTCATGGTCATTGCTCGCCGCTGACTCGGGTGTCTCTCTCGCTCTCCCTGCCTCGCTTGCTCTCGCTCTCCCTTTCTCTCGCTCTCGCTCTTTCTCTCTCTCTCTCTCGCTCCCTCGTCTTGGGGGGGGGGCTCTCCCGGCCTCGCGTTCTCGGGACCCAATTTAAGAGGCCCGGGGCTTTTCACTTTCCATTCATAAGAAAATGGAGTTTGGCTCTTTGAAAAAAAAAGTGTCTCTAAGGCATGAGATGCTGGGGGGATTCTACACAAACTCGCCTAAAAGCTTTGACTCAGCCAAACGGCATGAATATGCATGAGCTCGCCGAGCTGATTGGCCCGCCGTCTGGCAGAAGCGCTCGCGATTGGCCCGAGACGCTTTTAGGGGCTCGCCGGCTGGACCGGGCGAGCGAGAGACGGACTTCGCCTGGGGTGGAGGAGACGCGGCCGTGGGACCCTTCCAGCCGCCTTCTTCTCTCCCTCCCCCCCTCTCCGCCAAGGGTGCGGGGGAGAAGACAGGAAAAGGTCGCCAACCAGGAAGCGGGCCCTCTCCGGCCGTCCTCTTCTCCGATGGAGAGGACGGAATCCCGGCTCCATCCAGCCCCCCCCCTCCCCCGGCTCTGCTTGACTTTTCTGGGTACCCCTCTCGGTGTGACTCGTGACTAACTCCACAGCAACTGTGTGTAAGCTGGACAAGAAGCACAAGGGTCTCCCACTCCTCCCCCAGGGCCCCCACCCCAACTTCTCCGGCTTTGCCTGCCTCCTGCCCTGCAGCCTTTCAGGTGTGGGGTAGGTAGGTGGGTGGAACTGCTTCATGGAGCCTCGGAGCGGCCACCGGTTGCGGGCCGGTCCTAGTCTAAGCCGCAAAGCGGAGGGGTGAGCGCAGTTGGCAGGTGTGATGGGTGTGATGGGGCGAGGCCGGCCAGGCCCCTCCTTGCAGGCGCGCGCAATTCGCGGAGCAGGTTTTCCCCGGGCTGCGTTTTTGTGCGCGAGAGGGGCCGGGGGAGCGGGAGGACCGCCAAGCCCCACGGAAGGGCCACGGAAGAAGAGAGCTGGAGTGATCCGAAGCGAAAGCCGAGCGCAAGAGGGGCGACGGGACCGCGCTTCCACTCTCGACAAGCAATGTCACGCGTGGGGTCAGGTCAGGTCATTTAAGCACTTCACGCCGCATCAAGTTGGTCGCGACGCCGGCCAGTCTGAAGGGGGTGAACTAAGCTGGACTCGGTTAGACTAGCCCAAATGTAGGAGGGGATGCCCACTTTAGAGTCAGCGCCTCGGCCCGTGAAATTTACTCCTTGCGACCCCATTCAAAATCAATTACACTGTAGACCTGGCCGCCCTTTAAAGTTTCTTTAAAGTTGAAGTCCTCAAGAGAGGTGAGGGAACCGCGGGAAAGCTGCTGGGTCTAACTCCCCTGAGCAGCAGGTTAGTTGCAGATTAATTTTCTGAATAGTGGTTGCCCTGGACGGTTTTTCAGAATTCAACCTATAAAGTACTAGGGGGCGGGCGATTAAGAAGGAAAACCTGCCGTTGGTGATAAATTCTAAATAATGGGCACGTTTGCTTTTCTGCGAGTTTGTCTGAGCAGCCTGAGCTTGGAAAGGGGGGGGGGAAATAAGTCTCCCCCGGCCTCTGTGAAAACAACAGGACTACTTTCGAATTCAAGTCGCACAGAAACGGGGGGGGGGGCCTGCGGGGGCTGCGGGCTGACATGACCTGATCTGTTCCTACAAATTCCTTCCTTCCTTCCTTCCTTCCTTCCTTCCTTCCTTCCTTCCTTCCTTCCTTCCTTCCTTCCTTCCTTCCTTCCTTCCTTCCCTCCTTCCTTCGATTGTCTCTAGTTGAGCAGAGTAGCAAAATAGTGTCCACGCTGTCGCCGGGCTAGGCCTCCAGGGTGCAATCTCCACTGACTTTCTGAGGTCTAATAATTAGAAAGCATCGGCGGCTAATTATTTCTTTCCTCATTTCACGATCTCTCTCTCTCTCTCTGTTTGTAGATTGAGATGCCGGGCGGAGCGTGCCATCCTGGGGGAGGGGGCGGGTTAAGGGTGGGAAGAGGGCTGATCTTGCGGAAAGTTCACACGTGCAGCTGTATTAGTTACTGATTCACTTGATTAAATGCTAGTCTCAAGTGCTCTGATCCACAGCTGAAGGCGCCCCCATTAGCATAACACTGATGCTTAATTCTCATACGCATAATTATCCATATATTTAACATTAATGGCGACGCGCGAAGCCTTTGGCGTGTTTAAACAACCGGAGTGGGGGGGAAATATATGTGTGTGTGTGTGTGTGTGTGTGTGTGTGTGTGTGTGTGTGTGTGTGTATATATATATATATATATATATATATATATATATGACACGCACACTCACTTACCCCCACGTGCACGCACGAGCCCCCCGAGACACGCACGCGCTCCTCTTTGGCCCAAGCTCCCACTTCTCCCTTCCCCGCCTGCCCCGCTCGGTTCCACCTCGGCGCGTCGAGGGCGCGCACGGAACCCCAGCTCTGTAATCAAGCCCACTTTTTTTTTTTTTTTTTTGGCAAAGGGAGATCACCAGTAAAAACGAACATTCAGACAAATTGCATTGCGGGTGGCGTTATAGATATTAACGGGGGAGGCCTCCCTTCCCCGCGGGCTGGCTGGCTGGCTGGCTGGCTGGCTGCAGCAGCTCCTGAGCTTGCCGCGAGCTAGAAGGCGACGGTGGCGGGCAGAGAGAGAAGCGAGAGACCATCCCATAACGGCCCACCGGCACCCATAGCGTCCACTTCCGACGGGCTCTGGACAGTGGGGCTAAAGCGGGGCCGTCTGCCTCCCTGGGACTCTTTCCGAGGCTGGGAGCCCCTTCTTGCTTCCCGTCCCCCCCCAGCCGCGCCGGGGAAGAGCGGCGGCCTCGGTGCCCACCGCAACGCACCTGGCGACTCAGCCCGCCCCGCCCGCTTTTCCTCACCTGGACCCGGAGCGCGTAAGTGTGGTGGCCACCAAGACAGGTCTGGCTCGGGTGGGAGAGGGGAGCGGAGTGGGCCCGGGGAAAGGAGAACGGACGGGAATCATGCCTCAGTTCGGGTTTTTTGAAGTTCCACGAAAGTGTTTCCGAACTGGGAGAAAGTTTGCAAGTGGCTGGAGGGGGAGGAGGGGGCAAGTTGCCTCTCAGCTCGGCGTCCAGGTCCTTCTTGGATGGAATGGCATTGGAGTTCGGTCTCACTCTCCTAGTCCTCATTGAGGCTTTTTCAACTGCGGTGGAGATGAACTCAGCCTAGCCGGTGGTGGTGCGCTGAGCAAAAAAAAAAAAAAAAAATCTGTTTAAAAGTTGGGCGGTTCTTGGGTCCCTGCAAAAAGCATCGGTCTCGGGCCTGCAGATTTTCTTCCTGCGAGAGAAAGAGTTTTTGGGCGAAGCGCCTGGTCGGGTTGCCAGAGACCCCTTAGAGGAGGGTTAAGTTTTGCACCGGCCTTGCCAAGCGGATTGAAGGGAAGCTGAGGGGGGCGGGGGGGGAACTATTGCATTTCTCTCACACGCGCTGGAAATCTGCACTGGTTCTTTATTTCGCATGAACGCGCCGGTCTGAATCACGGAATTCTCTGGCGGGAAGTCCCTTTGCTTTGCGTAAGAATTCGTTTTCTGTGCTCACGCGGCGACATCGGTTGGGCCCTTTACACTGAAGTAACCCAGCTGAACTCAGCCAGACCTACTTTGAGGTCGAAACCTATAGGGTGGTCCTTTCCGTCGACCTCTGTGTTAGAATTTGTTTGAAATTCAAGGGGGGGGGGCGAATCCATCAACGGGCCAACCATTTAATCAGGTCTGGTAATTCTAATTCTAATAAAGCCTGTCCACTTCTGGCTGTTATACTGGGCGGACGAAAATGGTCACTTCTTAAAGGAGTACCCGGGGCCCTACGGGGGCTGCCCCCTTTCCTCGTCCGCCCCCCCCCTCCCCGGACGCTGTGGCTGACCGAAACCACAAACCGAAGGATTCCGATCGCCCCAAAGCTTAACTTCGTTGAGATTTAAGTCTCTCCTGGAGAACTCCGGTCCGTTCATCCCAAAGGACTTCTGAGAAAACACGTGTAGAGATTGCACGTGTGGAGGACAGGGTGTGCCTGCGGGGAGTGGGGGGAGCGACAGAAAATGCGCTTCCCACTTGATAGCGCGGGGATTTTGCTTGTTTTCTGCACCTGCTTATGATCGGAGCAAACGGACATTATTAAATAATTGGGTCAAAGTAGTTTTGTGAGGTTGGGGCTCTGAAGTCCCTGAAGTGGAAATGCTTGAGAGATGTTCCTGGAGGGACAAGAGGACAGGGAAGGAAAAGAGTTGTTTTATCTAGAAACCCACCAACTTTGTGTTCAGATCCAGCAGGGGGGTGGAGGAGGGAGGGAAGTGCCAGTCAAGCACAGAACTTTCCAAACTTTGCCATTCTTTTCACTGTCCCAATAACAGCAACGACTCTTTCTCCCTCACTCTTTCTCTCTCTCTCTATCTCTCTCACACACACATACAAATAAACCTTTCTGCAATCACCTTAATCATTAGGATTATAAATGTGTATCATAAATGCTGCTATCTCAGTCTAATTGCTAGGCAAACAGCTTGTTACCACAGCAGTTGGTAAAATCCTGCAGTCCTAATAAAATTAACCTGAGGGGGGAGTAACCCTCTGGGAAGGCTGCAATTAAACAGAGAGAGAGATACTGGCCCAGTACAGAAGATGTACCCTTAAGCCTAGGCATAGCTACTCAGTTGTAAATCTCTGGGTTCTATAGCACTGACTGGACAAGATACGTAGAGGTTTGTGACTTTTACATCCCATAATCAAACCTTAGTTCTTCCACTGAAATAAGTAGGAAGCACAGTGTTGTCTACCTCCAAGTCGCTGGACACTTCAGAAGTGTTACTTACTTAGGAGAAAGTCTTGGGCTACTACTCAAAGCCTGTGAGATTATATTTTTTTACTCCAACCCAACGTGGAAGGCCAGATGTAGTTCTATTTTTCACAAACAAGCCTAATGCCATGTACACATTGGCATAGTCTGCTAAGCCTTGATTTGGTTTCATCAATACTTTATTGCATAAACCCACAATGCCTGGTCTCATACACTAGTGAAATCATAGAACATGGTTTATAAGCACAGGTTAATCCCAAACCCAAGGGCTGGTGTGGTGGTTTAATGTTCTGTGTAACTCCAAGTGCGCGGGGGGGGGGGAGAGGAAGTTCCCAGAGGAATCTCCAAGAAAACAACACAATCAAAGAGTCTTGTGTCACCTTAAAGCCTCATGCATTTATTATAGTTGGGAGCTAGTGGATAGCAGCGCCATGAACTATAGGTTGCCGGAGCTGGTGTCCTCCGCTTACGCCCTTTAGTAGAAAGAAAGGCGACCTGGGAAATATCCAAACTCGCGAAGAGCCGATTGATGCTCTTCTGAACTCAAAAAAAAAAAAAAAAAGAGTCCACGAAATGTAAAGGCAGGTGCCATGAACTTGGGGCCTTCTTCATCAACCCAGGTCCTTTATGGCAAACGGGTTTAGGCTTTCTTCGCTTAATTGACTGGGCTGACCTGCTAGTTCGTGACCCGACCATTCCCAAATCAGATCCTCTGTTGCTTAAAGCGCGGGGGCGTCTGTCTCTCCACCTTCCTCCACCCCCTTGAGTTATCCGAGAAGTGAGGGAATCAAATTTGCCGAAGTATCCAACTTAATTAATCCAGCTTAATTTGGTTGCTGAATTCATTCTTTTTTCTGAGTTCGCACGAAAACTAACCAAACGAGTTGGGTTTGCCTGGAGAAGGATAAGCTCCCGTCCTCATCCAGTTTTGCAACTAGTTCACGCGAGGTGTTTCATGTCAACCATCCAATCGAGCTATTGTGAGAATCCAGCCCGAAAGGTGGGTCTTCCACACCGGTGCTCTGATTCCTTCCAGGCTCGTTCCATCATACACAGCCACATATTGGTGAAGGACAACGGAGCGCCAGATGTGGCAAACTATGATCTACTGTCCTTCAAAGCATGGTGAAACCCCCCCCCCACTCCTTTTAATATTGGAGCAGCGATCTGCCACTCCTTTATAAGCAAGGAGGCCTCGCTGTTTACGAAGTGGTCGTCAGATCTCCGCCATTCGTAAACTAGGATTTGTGCCTTAAAGAGACTTGTGTGAATCCAGACAATTTTTTTTTTTTTACTCAACCATGGCTTCTCGTCAAATTGCCTGTTCCTAGGCTCTCACCAAAATCTGACTTCTGTCCCAGAGCCTTTCTCTTACCCGAGTACACGTTACCAAATTTTAATTCCACAACGGCCAGCGCTCGAAAACAATCTATTACCGGAGAACAATCGGATAATTTTTATTAAAAACTCAACACAAAACTAAGCGAGCGGCCCTCCCGCTAACGCTACCTTTTGGAGTGCGCCGAAAGGGGGGCGGGAAAGAAAAAAACAACCCACCACTTCGCTAACGAGCTCGTCGAAATCTGCTTTAACGTGTTTTTCTGAATGAAGCCAATTGGGGGGGGGGGAGGGCGTCCGTCATTCCACCGTTTGCTTTTGCGGTTCCCGCTGACGAAGCCACCCTGGCCAGGTTTCATAGTTTGGCTTAGGCTACTAGAGGAAAACTGGGAAACGTAGATTACTCTCGATGTGAAGCCGAGTACCGTAACTTTTGCTTGCGTGGGTCGGCGGTGGTGGTGGGGGGGGGGAATGAGCTCCGGGCCTTAGCGTGATTGTTACCCCCCGGGGCACTAACACGCAAAGTGAATTTCAGGTGACTGACGCCGCCGAGTCCAGTCAGGAGATTCCCTTCTTCCTCCCTTCCCAGCTCGCGCCTGTTTGTCCTATCCAAGGAGCTCCTTTGCATGGGCAGCTGCGTCCTCTCCGTCCCGGCCAGGAGCTTTTCCAGCAAGGGGGCGTTTCGCTCGCCTTCCCCCCCCCGCAACTTTCCTTCCCCCCCCCAGCCTCTTCCCTCGTTGAGGTTCGGCTTTAGCTTAGCTGATCCTGCTTCAAGTTTGTGCGGGGGGGGGGGGAGAACCCTCTGGCTTGGCCCACAATACCTGGAGGTTTCCAGCAGCTAGCCTGGAAGGCCCTTAACCCACGGGTTAGAGAGGTGTGTGTCTGTGTGTGTGTGAGAGAGAGGGAGGAGGGGAGGGGGAGAGAGAGAGAGAGGGAGAGAGAGAGAGGCTTCCTTCTAGGCATTCAGGTGCCCCCCCCATAAGGAAGCCCTTAATTGCCAGGATTTCAAACTTCTCCTTTCCTTGGGAGGTTTGCCTTGGGATTTGGGGCAAGACTCCTCCGATCAAGCAATACCTCTGCAGTAAAGAGGCAGTGAAGATGCAGGCCTCGGTCAGGCTGGAGTCCTGGGGAAAAGGGGCACCAGTTTAGGCAAGATCACCCTCAAGCAATAATAATGTCATCCTCAGAATAATTATGAGTAACAGTAACACAGTAAAAAACCACTTTTTCTTTTTGGCAAAGGGAGGGGTGGTTGGGTCTGATATACAGAGAGCTTGAATGGCTGCTAAAGATGTAAGTGGCTGCAAAGCCGCAAGAAATAAAGTTTGCCCTTTTGCTTTGCTTGTTATTTCCAGGTCTTTGAAAACCCATTTGACTATGTAAACATGTGGGCACTGCCACAGGGACCAGGAACAGCCTCGAAACAAAGCATAAGAAACAAAAACAAGGGGAGGGGAGGAAGAAACACACCCTCATTTTATTTTATTTTATTTAGGAAAGGGGGGGATTATATTTTTTGTATAGTTGTGGAGTAGGGTTACATGCTTTGTTTAAAGATTATCCCGTTTTACATCACTGTCCTTTGAGGATCCTGCAGAAAGCAGCTCCCCTAAATAAATAAATGGGTTGATACAGTGCTTCCGTGGCCAGGTTCCCCCCCCCCCAAGCACCACAGGAAAAGGTTCTCCTGCCAGCTGGTGGCTCTTAAGTTTCCTTAGCCAGGAGGGTCAGGATTTCTGCTCCTTTGTCTGTAATGACAATGGTGTGCTCAAACACGGCTGATCTGAAAGAGAGGCAAGAAGCAGTGAGCTTGAGGACAGGGTGGTCCTGGAGCCTAAGAAATCCATCTTGAAGGAAAAATGTATGAGATCCAACAGAACTTCCAATTAGGGAATTATAAATTAAACTGAGAATTAAAATGACAACAGGAAAGGTCCTGTACTACCTTTTGAGGTCTGCACTTATCAGAGTCCAATCATCATCCAGGAGATAACATTCAATCATTCCTTCCATTATTACGGGCTCTGATGCAACAAACAGAGAATGAAATCAGTATTGTGATAGTGATTCCGCAAGCTTGTCCTTCCTAACCCTCAAGTTTGCCAGTTTGTCCAGATAAACCATCTTTCCAATCGCAAAAAGAAAGCAGCAAGGAACCATCAAGCTAGAACCTGGATGCGTCCCTTTTTCAAAAGGTGGGAGAAGGGCACTTTAATCAGGCTTTAATTAAGATCCTCATGGATCATAACAACCAAAACCCCTAGCCACTTTCCTTCAAAGAGCAGGCAGGATGGAAATATTTGATTTTTTTAAAAGCAGGTTTTAAAATGTTCATTAAATCAGCAAAACAACAATTTTCTTATTTCCCCTTAATTGCTGTACCATTTAGGCATGCCGTGAGCGAGGAATACATTTTTTTCCCCCTCTCCTTCCACCCCCTGATAAGCTGTTGATGATTGGTATTTCGTATGTTCAATCTCCCAGGTGAGGGCTGCTGACTGGCTACTCAGCCAAAATGACAGAAGGGCAGCTCCTGCGTTCCAATAAAGGGGCATAATTGTTTCCAGAGAGTTGGGTGGTTAATCTGTTATTTGGGGGGGGGGGGGGAATCAGTCTTCAAACTGATCTCTTACTGTGAGCTCAGCTTCCCTTCCTCCCAAAATCCACTGGGCTGTCATGACACAATCTAAATCTATCCTTAGGATGGACGGAGGAATTGTCAGCTCTCAAATTCCCCCTTGCCTGAAGCTTCCAAACCAAGGCTAGGCTTGGTCATGCTCTGGGCAAATCAGCCCATGAAAACTATCTCAGGTAATAAAGCCATCTCATCTCTGGATAGAGAGATGGGCAGCATGTCAATTTAATAAATAAAATATATAATAAAATCAGAAGTCAGTGATAATTTTTTTTAAAAAAAATCAAAACTAACAAAATGCCAATACTATCACGAAAATCCAAATAGAAACCGTGTATCCAATGACTTTAGAACAGTGTTTCTCAACCTTGACAATTTTAAGGCATGTGGACTTCAACTCCCAGAATTCCACAGCCAGCAATGCTGGCTGTGGAATTCTGGGAGTTGAAGTCCACATGCCTTAAAATTGTCAAGGTTGAGAAACACTGATTTAGAATAACTATACTAAGACATTAAAGATTCAAATAGAGGTGCTTGGGTATTGTTCTGTTAAAAGAATAGCAGTCCTAATGACTCTGGAGAAAGGAAATCCAATTGAGCAGTAAGACAGCCTGAAGATATTGCCACAGATTTAATACAAACCATAACAAACCTATTGTGAATGCCATTCCCTTCTCCATTAATGTGTCATTTTCGTTGGCTGCAAAATAAAAGAGAAATTACCCAGGTAAATAAAAAGATGATCTTTTGCTAGAAATTGTGTTTCCCTCAGATAGATCCAATCTCTAGTTTAAGCCCATCTTTGCCCTGCAAAGCTTCTCATCTGTCCTAGATTATTCTGAATTCAGAAGACAGTACTGGCCAATTTGTCTGATTTCAGAGACGGGACTGGTCAATTTGAGGCTAACCCTAACCTAAGTATTCATCTAGTTGGAATGAAAAACTATCAAAGGAAAGAAATACTGAGTTCAGATTTTAAATTAAAATTACCCTATAAGCTTGGGGAGACAAACAAACAAAAGGAGATCTAGGCGAATGACTATTTTACACAGAGAGTGGAGTCCAGACTTCACACCTGGATTCCTCAGTATCATTACTTGAGCATAAATAACACAAGTTACTTCCAAGTAGAAGTGAAAAGATGCTAATATTCTCCCTCTACCCCCTCCCCTCAGTTTTTAGTTAACAATTTCAGATTAGGCCCAAATGCTGCTTCTGTTCCAATCCCCAATGTGGGAAAAAATCTGGGGGTTCTGAGGGATTATTGTCAAGAGCTTTCTTTTAGCAATACCTACATTTTTAATGTGAAAAAGTAATCCACAAAACTCTGAAGACAGATTTCTGACAAAAGAAATGTGTGGCATTCAGTATCAAATGGAAACTAGAGTGTCTGATTCTGTTTTCCCATACTGCTCTTTGCACAAAAGCCACGTCTCAGAGGAGAGTCAATCCTATAGTGTACCCTCTTCCTTCCATTAACCGTCTAAAGTTAATGGCCTCAAGTCAATTGCTGTAGATACCAATTGGGGCCATGTATTGTAGAAAGCTATCTTTTTCCAACCTGTCTCCTGGAGATGGGCAATTCCAATATTCTTGGAAGGCACTAGTCTGCACAAGGCTTCATGAAGTCACATGTGATTTAGTTTGGCTTAATGCAAGGTACAAACCTTAGTTTTAAGCACTGCAGTAGTTTATTACAGTAGAAATCTTGTCATAAGATTAGTGTTTACCAAAAATCTGATCACTAGAACTAGTTCAACATACTATGATTTATCATGATGAGCAGGAACGCCAAAACCTTATTTGTATTTGTCACGCAAACAAACCAGAAGACCTTAGAGGCTTAGCACCAATGGTGAGCAGTTTGAATTAGCGTGGAAAGAAAAATGACTCCCACAATTCTGGAATATGTTAGGATAGTGGTTCTGTTTGATCATCTTTCTGATTTGTTCATGTGAATTTTCCCTTAAAATCCTTTAGTTCCATTGAGTAAGCAAAGGGACAATTATTTCTAAGAAGTGACAAAATCACTTGCCAAAAGTTTTATGTACTGGCAGGAGCACACAACCTTTTGTGGTTGATGCAAATATAATGTAAGGTATTCAAAGGACCATGGAAAAATTAAGGAGGGACCCTCTTACCATGTTGCCAAACTTCAGGATTACTATGTAAGTTCGTTCCTATCCCATGACCACCAATGTAAGGGCAGACTTGAAAACCATTTTGATGTGCAATGTTGCTTTAGAAAAAACACAGAAATGTTTAATATAAGAAACAATTTCCAAATTCAAAAGAATACATTTCGTTAAAGATATCATCATTATCATGTTTTCACAAAAGAACACAGCCAAGAATCCTGACACTACCACTTTGCGTCAGAAAAGCGCATCTCGTATTTCCCTAAAACTCAAGACTTCATTTCATTTCTGAAATGGCAGAATACCCTGCTGTTCAGTCTCTGTAATAAAAAGGGAAAAGGGAATGAGGAATGTTATGAATGAGGATCTCCATCAAGAGCTAGGAAAGTATTAAGAGCTTTACAAAGATAATTCTGTCTTTTGGAGTGTTATCCTGGCTCTAAAAATCAGGAACTTTAGAAAACAATTACATTTGTCCAGGAACTGACAGAGGATTATAAAGTTAGAATTACTTTAAATCCACCAAGCATTAGATCAGTACTTTCATTATTTGTAAAGCTGGGAATCTGTATCCAAAATTGTGCATTTTAGGCATACAAGCATTTATAAGAGGAAGATTTTGCAGCCGTAGTGCTTCCAATTCTTGTTTAGTGCTTTCTATAATCCTGCCTTAAATAGAGATAGGACAGAATTTGTTTAGTTTGTATTTGACTATGAACTTACCTACTTACCTACAGTTTCAAAGCATTATTTGGACCAAAATTTTGCCACAGTTCAAAATTTGCAGTCTTTTGAACTTACAATACACCTCAACAATTAAAAAATACATTAGGGAAAAGATTACACAAAATGCATATATTAAAGTCAGCATGGTCAAGTGGTTCAGGCACCAGGCTAGAAAGCTGGAGATGGTGAGTTCTAGTCCCGCCTTAGCCATGAAAGCCAGCTGGGTCACCCTGGCCAGTCACTCTCTCTCAGCCCCACCCGCTTCACAGAGTTGTTGTTGTGGGGAAAATAGAAGGAGGAAGATATATTGGATACGTTCACCACTTTGAGTTATTGGTAAAAATAATAAAGGCAGGATATAAATAAATAAAAATAAGCAAAATAGGCAAAATACACTGCATTACAGGAAAGAAAAATGCACACTTGGAGAAATGGTTTTCAAAACTCATACACGTTTAATTCAGATTTCTTTAAAAACAAGTCCTTATGTTTGATGAAGCAAGCAATCTATTTGCAAAAGTGAGAAAGACCCAATACGAAACCCCCAAATTGATAGGCTCATCTCTGGTCTTAAACAGAATCACAGCCATGGTTCCCTTTAGTTGAGTGGAGTTGGTTTTATCTCCAGTAGGATCCTCCAGAATTTGCAGAACTGGGTAACTGTTGCTTTTCATTCAGAAGAAACTCAGAAACCCGAAGATTGGGGCATTTTCCTTTAAAGGCATTCCCAGACCACTATAGGTAGTACAATAGAGATGACAGGCAACTTTTCTCAAATGCCGTTTCATGCACTTAAATAAAAAACGCATGTTGCCCTCTCTACTGGATTACATTGGAACCTAAAGCCTGGCAATTTATTGCGGTCAGCCTTAACCATGGTGTTTTAACATAAAATATTTTAAAAGGTAGCACTGAGCCACATTAGCATATGTTTGCAAAGGTTAAGGATCTGTTAATAGCTTTATGTGCGTGTGGCTTTAAATATAAAGTAAAAGTCCCTGTCCAGTTGTGTCTGACTCTAGAGCAGTGGTTCTCAACCTTTTTAATGCCGCGATCCCCAACCGGTCGTAAATCGAGGACTACTCAACTGGTGCAGCACCGTTTGCAGAATGGGACTTTTGGCAGGCTCAACAGGGCAGAGACAGCCTGGACAATTCCTATTGGCTTTTGAAAGCCAATAGAATTAGACTCTATTCAAGAGAGTCTATTCTATTGGCTTTCAAAAGCCAATAGAATAAAAGGGAGTAGCACAGCTAAGGAAAAGGGGAAAAAAATGGCGGACTGTGTCGTTTGGCGACCCCATGAAATGGTCGTTCGACCCCAAATGGGGTCCCGACCCACAGGTTGAGAACCACTGGTCTAGAGGGTGGTGCTCATCTCTGTTTCTTAGCTGAGAGAGCCAGCGTTGTCCGTTGTCCATGACTATACGCTAAGGTGCACAGAATGCTGTTACCTTCCCACCGAAGTGGTACCTATTTATCTACTCACATTTGAATGCTTTCAAACTGCTAGGTTGGCAGGAGCTGGGACAAGGGAGCCCCCCCCCCGTGGTACGGTGCTTGGGTCTTGAACCTAGGCTGTCAGCTTTCCAGAAGACAAGCTCATCATCTTTAACTGCTGAGCCATCACAGCCCCACAGCTTTAAATATAATGAACATTATAAAAGAATTAGGCATGGGGTACTAGATTGATCTTTTATATTAGTTAAATTAGGGCGAACTTTTTGTCCAATATAATATGTTGAAAGCATAGTAGGAATGAGGGCAAAATTTGCTAACCATGAGTGTGAATCTTGCAAGTGAAAACACCATAGTTTAGCAACTTGAGATTAGACCACAAACAAATGTTGCAGCATATTGGGGTAAGGAACACCAAATGTTTTGATCAAATTCAATCACTGCCAGTCAGTCTGATTAATAGCAAAGAACAGTAGGAGGAATAGTTGAAAACAACTGGATGGCACTCTGCTGCCTATCCCTGCAATACAACTTCATCATCACTAACGGGATGTGTCTTCCTCTGGGTTAATAAACTGTTAAGGGTTCAAGCTAATTCAGTTCCCACTGTTCCAGTATAAGAAAACATACATAGCTCAGGATTGAACCATGGAGCCCCTGGACTCCACAATTCCCATTGTCTTTGTATTTTTCAATTCACTCAGCATATGGTGGCTCCTAATGCTGCTAACTGGGCTTAATCCTCTTTGGACTTGTCTTTGTTAAAACAACAACAACAAAGAGAGGACCTCTTTCAGTTCTCTAGGTATGCATAGGAGTGCATATACAGTGACACATTTGTTATTGCTTGGTGGCCTCATTTTAGTTCCTTTTTAGAGGCATTGTAGGAAAAATTGATGCAACATATACTTTCGCATCCCAAATTCCCAACTTCCACCTTTGAAGACTGAAACCATATTTTCTAGAATATTTTCTAGAATATTCAAGGCAAATATTCTTTAACAATGCCATAGTCACTGAAAGTCGGTCACGGAAAAGGAAAGGCAGTTGAAAGGCCTTATTGCTCCAATTCTTTCATTAAATAAAGGCCTCTGTTTGGACATACTGTACACTTCCACAGGAACATGATAGAGATGGCTGTGACCACTGGCACTCATGAATTGAGTCCAGAATTGATATGCATGAAAAACAGCAGTCTTACAATGCTATATATATAATTATGGCTGTTGATGGAGTTCTGTTGGCATGAGATAGTGTTAGCTCAACAAAATTACAATTTGGAGGTATTGTGAGAACTCGTATTTAAAAAAGTGAATAGTCTTTTCTGTTTCAAAGACCTGTGTGTCTGTAAAGGCGAGGAATTGGTTTCTTTTCTCCCATTTATTTTACACATCACATCAGGCCATGCCCTTTTGCCCCAATGCTCACGAGTGCATGGCCACAATCAAGTGCTACCAGGATACAGAAGACTCCCAACTATTGCAAAGTGGAGAAGTAGGTCAATAACTTTTCATTATGTTCACAGATAACACCTTGAATGGATTTTTCTGAACAGGTTCTATAGATTAGCTACTGCTTGCCTACCAACACTACCAACAAAAATCTTTAGCCATTACAGTATTTTGCGTGATTCTGGTGCACAACAGAGTATAGATCTCAAATGCATGATAGCTGAAATGTCTTTATGGATCACCTAACTACTCGCAGGGAGTTAAGTAATGACACAAAGAAGCAGGAACATGGAAGTTAAAAGATGGGTAGAAAATCAGTCTTGATAGGATTTGAAAGGTTTAATTGGAGTCCCCAGGAAAAATGAGAATGAAAAGAAGCCAGAAAATTAACAGTGTCCACATTGGTACATAAAAATGAACAGGCTAAAGAGAAAATAATGAGTCTGTTTCTTGAACAATGCAGCAACAGCCTTTTTATAGTTCTATACTTTTTCTTCCAAGTTTGCTAGTGCCAAAGTAATTGGATTAATTTTTTATTTGGGTTTATTCATACCTATTATTTTGCAGCACTAAAGTGCTTTTTTTTTTAAGAAAAAAAATTCTAAGGTAGAAGTAGGATACTCAAAGCAAGTTTTTGACTTCCAAATTCTTTAATCCTAACTGTATAGCTTTATACTAAGCTGCCTTTAGTTTTGGAGTTGAAATTAAAACACGGAAATCCTGGGACCTGGATTTCTCCCATCTCTGCAATAAATCAGTCGCTGAGAGAGAGATGTTATTATAGTTACGCCAAGCTTCTATTCAAAGCTTTGACTGAATCATCCTTTCTAATTAATTGCCGCCAAACTAGTTCAAATAAGATATTGCATGATTTGCACATTCCTAGTTGACAAATAGAACATTCCTAGTTGACAGTATGAAGGTTTTAAGCGGTTTATATAACCACCACTATAATCAAAGCAATTCCATTTATTTGGATGCGGTTTCTAATACGTGTCTGAAATCTAGTGCCCATTTTAGATCAGTGGGAATCCTGTAGTCATTGAGTATCGCCATTGGATGTACTATTGTGTAAGATTGACTTGAGGCGAAATGTAAGCACACTTCACCAAGAGCAATTTAAACTCCTACATTGGGTCTAAAGATCTGACCCAATATGGTTTGATATACATATAAATCTGCTTTACATTGTGTTTCTGGCCTTTAAAATTAATTAAATAATGAATTTAATTTAGCCTTTACAAACTAAACTTGTCACATCAGAGCTGTCCGTATGTACAATCTTATTACATTGAAGGAAATAAAGGATAATTCTCTGAGTAGAATAAATCTCTCATGGAGAGGAATAGCTTTGCATGGCCATTGGAAAAGCAGGAAGAGAACCAAGAAAATAGGAGACATAGAACCTGGGGCAAGGAATCTGGGGCAACAACCTGGATGTTAAGGAGAAGATATGAGTAGTATGAG